CCTAATATGGTACATTTCCAATTATGATAAAGAATTCTATTGGTACAGCTGTATAACATTCTAGTACGGACTTATACTATTTCATACAAATCTTATCCCATAATTTATGACCTGATCCACGTGTCCTTGAGAAATTTCCGCTCTTTCTTGAGTGTCCTCGAAATTGTACTGCCCCCGAGGCAGATCATAACGGGTCCCCGATTTTCTTCTCGAGGTGTACTTCGAGCTTCCCGAACTCGGGCTCGGAGTGTAATCAAGTCTCCAAAATCGAGCTCTCCAATTTCTACCGTACACACTTTATTAGGCAATTTCATTAAGTTGTATGACTATTTAAGGAATTAAGTCGTAGTCAAAATACTTAGAAACAACGAATTATCCATAATTGCAGGAGTCAAGGCACAAGCTTTCTGATCATTGGGCAAATGACCCTGCAGTCCAAGAAGCTCTCCATGTTGAAGTGTTATTTTGCCTTGATTTTCTACTTATACATACTAGGGCACCATAAGAAGATGGGAAAGATGTAAACAAGATGGTATAAAGATATCCTACACATATACCTCTATGGATAGTTTTTCCTGTCATGTAAATCTTAGCACCAAAGGATATCGAGCGCTTATATTCAGGTTAGTTTGTTTCCTCTTCATTTGCTTATAATTCTATAAATTGAAGCCTTTCATTTAAAGATTTACCAACGGATGTATATTGAGGGCAGTAGATACGGACATATAAATTAACTACTTCCGCTTCGAGTTATAATGAGGTAGTAAGGGTAATAATATTAAATTTATTTTTCAATATACATAATTGGTCTAAACTTATCAATATACATAATTGGTCTAAACTTAATTTTCACAAATGAGATAGTAAGTGTAATGATATTATGCACTAGATAACTTAAAATTCCGAATCCGCGGCTTGTTGAAGGAGTGGTGATCATGACATGGGTGTTCCTTTCATGTCTACTGAAGCGTGGATTAGAGCTCTAAACTATTCCATTATTGATGATTGGTATCCAAATAGAAAGAAAATGCACCTGATAGGACGAGATCGAGTCCGTCTTACTAAAGAAGTTCGGGGAAACGCTCTTGAAGGGGGCCACGATGTGGTATCACAACCTAGCTCCCAACTCCATAGATTCATTTGCCATGCTAGTTGATTCCTTCATAAAGGCACACGCCAGTGCCATCACAGTAGCAACAAGGAAGTCCTACGTATTCAAGATTAAGCAGAGGGAGAATGAAACACTACGAGAGTTCGTATCTCGCTTCCAAATGAAACGGATGGAACTACCCCCGATCTCCGACGACTGGGTGGTGCAGACCTTCACTCAAGGCCTGAACGAACAAAGCTCAGTGGCCTCAAGGCAGCTGAAAGAGAATCTGATCGAGTATCCCGCCGTAACCTGGTCGGACGTCCACAACCGGTACTAGTCAAAGATCTGGGTCGAGGATGACCAGTTGGGAGCCCCCTCAAGCTCAGTATATCCGAGCAGACTCCTGGCAAAGGAGTCGAAATCGAACAAAGAGAGGTATCAGTCGTACCCCGAAGATAGGAGGAATGTCCCGAGATGCAATCCGCCTTGCAATGATTGATTGGTGAATCGAGGACAGAACCTTCAGGAACCCATCATCCGAGGCGGATTCGACGGGGATACGGGGCCAGTGAGGGCACCTCGCCTATCATAATACAACTTCAACGTCGATGAGCCGGACATCGTGTTCACCATCAGTAAAACCAGGGACACTGAATGGCCCAAACCTATTCAGTCGGATCCCTCCTAGAGTAATCGCAACTTAGTGTGTGCACTTCATAATACACACGGCCATAAGACCAAAGATTGCCACCAGCTCCAAAAGGAAATAGCCAGGCTACTCAACAAAAGTCACTGCCGAGAATGTTTTAGCGATCGGGCTAAAATCCAATTCCGAGAAAGAGAGGCAGCCAAGAAGAACGAAGCAAATGAATCATAACACGTTATCCGCGTGATATTAGAGGGGCGTCGGCACTCCCTAGGAACCCGTGAAGAGGAGGTCAAAAATATTTACCACCAGACAAAGACGAACCCGAGGATACGTACCCGAAGATGCCCTCACATTCAACAAGGAAGACTCTGAAACCTCGCCCCAACCTCATAACAACACACTGGTAACCTTTTTTTTCATTTATTCATTTCAAATAAAACATGTGCCCGCGAATCCAGGTAGCTCGACCAATATTATCAAGCCAAGAGTAATAGAGCAGCTCGGACTGCTAGACCAAATCGTGCCTGCCTCTCGAATCCTTAACGGATTCAACACGGCAGTCGAAACAATAAAAGGAGGGGTCACACTCCTAGTGGGCGTGGCCAGCGCAGCCCAAATTGCCAAAATTCCATGTCATTGAAGGAGACATGAAATACTACGCCTTATCCGAACGACTAAGGATACACTGCATGAGGACGACACCGTCTACCCTCCACCAAATGATGAAATTTCCGATGGAGGATGGGGTTAAAACCCTCTATGGGGAACAACGCGTGGCAAGGGATGCGTTCGCATTACGTAACATAGCGTTGGCACCAATATCTCCACTCTCGAAAGAGTCAAAGGATAATTAAACAACACATTCGGCTAAGCCCGATTAAACACAATGGAGGACCATACCGAGTCCTTGCTCCAAACAATAGGGACACATCGGACCTCGGAACATCGCCGGCGCATCCCACGATAAGGTAAGACCACCTCCCTCTTTCGTCATTTTACACTAACCCATATGCAGGTGCCCGGTCAGGGCAGTTGAAAATGCTAAACCCGAAGATCTCAAGGCCTTAACGGCATCCGTTGCACTCTTTTCCTTCGGCCGAGCTTTTGTCCCGAAGAGGGTTTCACCAGCAAGGTTTTTAATGGGGAAACGTACATGTGATACCTTAGGAGGATCCAACAAGCTTTCAAAGCTTCTTTTGCAATCAACCCCGAGCACTAGAGGACATCCCCTTGAGAGGTCATCCACTCGGAAGAACCAGGGAACAACAAACAAGGTTCCAATAGGAAATGATGTACCGGGCTGGAAAAGGGTTAAAACTCCAAGATGCCATGGCGGCTGTGCTAGCAAAAGTGGAATGCAATAATAGGACATTCCATGTTGGTTTAGCCTGGAGGATAGTTCATAATACCTCATCTCTCTGGACAAGAATTCTCATCTCCAAGCACTGTAATTGGAACCATATCCCAAAATAATCCAAAGGATGGAATATATGTAGGTCGGCCAGTAGGTGGATTGTTAACAAAGGGGACAGGGTAGGTTTTTTTTCAATGATGCATTGATACCAAATAATACATCCATCAGAAAAATGCTTGGGGTTCTCTTACACTAATGACCTTACTGCCAAGGTGGCCACAATCTACAATAATGGGGAATGGAATACCTTTTCCCTCTCCCTCAACCTTTCTAACAACATCATGAACCTGATCAAATTCACATTTATTCCTACTAATTTAGTCAAGGAAAACAAGATGATTTGGGGTCTGACACACAATGATATTTTTACCACCAAATCAGCCTACACCTTTCTTAGCAGCAAAGCTGATTTATTTGAGAATAGGGATGGAAATAAATCAGCTGGATATGGAAGTTAAAGGTACCCAATAAGATCAAAGCATTCATTTGGCTACTGTCCCATGATAGACTGCCAACGAGAGCCCTCCTTCACAGAATTGGGGTTAATTGTAACCTTGCTTGTTGTTTCTGCTCCTCTACTCTAGAAACAAGTACCTATATTTTCTTCAACTCCTAATGCTAAGTTGTTCTGGCATGATTTCACCACTAAAAGCACAACTGCGAACCAATAGTGGTACCCAAACTTCACATCCTAGTCCTGGTCTAATACATGGACCAACCTAAGGGTGCCCTTCAATGATATTCTATCCTGGAAGGTTATCCTTCCCTTCTGCTTCTGGTACATATGGATAATAGAAAATCATAACCTATTCAACGAAAAGAAAGATCACATCTCCACTTCTAATACCATTGCTATGATCGCTGAATTCTACATAGTAACAGTCAGGGAGAGTTTGAGGAATACAGTTACTATAGGTGTCAAATGGGAACCTCCATACGGGCGTCACTATAAGATTAACATAGATGGGGCAGCTCTAGATAACCCAAGGATAGGTGGCATTGGAGGTGTCTTTAGGACATCCAGTGGAGACTGGATCATTGGATTCATGGAAAACATGTTTCATACCACCAACACCCTGAAGGAGATGATCGCACTTTTAAGGGGTCTCCAAATTGCAGAACAAAGGGGCCTAACACCACTAGAAATAGTCACAGATAACAGAGGTAATAAAAATGCTAATCTCAAGAAATAACACTCATGACTCTATTATTTCTTGAATGCAGGTTATTTCTTACATTATCCTTTGAACGGCGAAGGCTATATCAGTAATTGTAGCTGAGTCCATTCTCCCCACACCATTCAATTCGTAAATGCTCTGTAGATTACTATGTGTCAAATTGTAAATGCCACGTGGGTTTATATTTTGTCCATCCTTTTGGCTTCTCCTCTATCATCTGCAGCTTCTCATATTTTTTGTTGACAAAAAATTATACTTTTTGTTTGGTTGTACAGTTCACAACACTTTCTAATTAGTTTTGTCTTTTCTCAGTAAAATTTATATCTTATTGGTTAAAGGAAAAAAGATAAACAGGGTACAACGTAATACCATGAAGAATAAAAAATATTCACTATCAATTCTTTCATCGTCTAATATTGTAAAACAGATAAAAGATTATATTGAAGTTAATATTGAGAAAAATTATATGGTGTCTGTTTGTTCAAATGTCCTTAATTCCAGCTAGCTGCAAGGATTATACTCAATCTAATTTTTAACAAGAACTCCATAAAGATATATTGTTAAAGACACATATATTACTGTCACCGAGAGAGTGACAGATCGTGACTGAATTGTATAATACATATCAAAATTATTTTAAAAGAAGGAGCTTTATCATTTGTAAAAACTTATTACATGTACATGTGAATTGAATGTAATCTGAGATTTTATTTAGTACCATGTATTGAAGTTTAGAACAAGAAATGCTTAGATGACGAACAGACGTGCATTGAATCGTTGCGGGTTGCTTCCTTTTCTTGACCTATTGTCCTTCTAATTTCATCTGCCGAAGGAAACTCCTTTCACTATATCAGTCTTGGTATATTTGCTGTAACATAGGATGGTTCAAGGATGGCAAGAACATATTCCTTCCTTTTTATTCCTTCTAGCATTTATCCTTTCATTTTGGAAAAAGAATATTACTACAATCTTTGGGGATATGAAATGATGAACTATTCTATATTGGCAGTATTCGATGTCACAAGTAAAGATAAGAATATTATTACAAAGGTATCAGCCTTGGATTATATCATGAAGGTGAGCTTATTCTCTGTGCAAATTTAGAAACTTTTTACTTTCACCTTCTAGTAAGACAATTTATTGTTTTTATTGGTGTTTTGCGATCGAATTATTCAACTAAGTATGCTAACTGTTTCCAATTAAATTTGTGGGTTTAGAGCTTGACTCTTAGTACTAAAGGTTTACTCTGATTTTTTCAGGAAACTTATTCAATAATAGGAACATTAATTACCAGTTGATCATTTTTGTATATCATAGCTTGTTTTGATGAATCAAAGATGAAAATAGTATTACAATGTGTAAACTTGTAATGGTTACAAATTATTATTGCATGATTTGAGTCTTTTTTCTCTTTCTTGTCCAAAACAAAGTTTCTTAAAATGCAATATTAAAGGTTGGGTGTAGCTCTTCAGTGAACGAGTTAATACTAACATAATCTTTGGTTATTGCAGCCTGCAGGTGTAATTGACTTCTTACAAGAATAACTACTTAAGGGAAAACGTAGTAGAGGAAATATTGCTAAATTTGTTACCATAAATGAGTACATTTTGAAAGACAGATCTGGAGAAGGTTTAATATTGGAGGGATTCAGTTGGTGAAGCAGGCAAAACAGTAAGATGCAATTTACCAAGTGGTTATGAATGGTACAAGGCTATCTTTCTTTTCCTCTATAATCAACTAAACAATAGTCTTCAACTAATGTTTGTACTTGGAGAACATTTCTGAAATCTTGTGTGATTTATAAAAATAAGAAGTATTTAGACATATCATTGTGCAATTTAGAAAAGAGAAAAAGACAGAGCTACAAATAGAAAATTTATAAATTTATGGTAACTTCCCAAAAGAATTATCTTTCATGGAAGAAAAGCAAGTTATGTGCAAAGAAGTAGGAACTAACTAGAAGTCCACCTAAAGCAGTTATGGTATCCTCAATTAAAAATTTCATTTTTGTGTTTCTTCTTTCAAGATATAGTGCTTTCCTTTCTTTTTAAAGTTTTTACTCAAAATTTCTCATTACTTCCAATATGGTGGCAATGAGAGAGAACACAGGAAGGATCCAACTTCAAGTTCCGAGCATGACATACCAGAAACACCAGATCCAAAGCGTTTATCTTATGGAATTTTAATTTAATTTTCTTCACATACACTAAGGAGACATGCTCAGAATAGAGAGGCAGCACGAAAAAGTAGACTCGGCAAAAAGGTACTTATCACTCTCTTATGTAGTGACTTTGCTTTTCTTGTGCCAAGTGTCTATCAAAAAACAGTTTTTCTACCTGCACAAAGTAGGGTAAATCGGGGTAAGGACTATGTACATACAATCCTCCCCAAACTCCACTTGGGAGATTATACTAAATATGTTATTGTTGTAACGTTTTTTGTATATGTGATATCTACTGGTAAATCTGCCCGGTAATTTGAGATTAGTGGGGATAGAGATGCTTCCTGAAATTCATGCTTGAACTTTGGGATAACGATTCACAATACAATCTGGCTTTATTGTAGATTATTGCAGCTTGATATCCATCAGTTCTTAGAGTCATGTCTAGAGGAATCATGAAGCTAGCAAGGTATATGTAAATTTGATAAATAATCCATTTTCCCTAGGGTTTGAACTAGGAATGTTTAGTTTTCCACACATAGTTTATTTTTCATAGGTTTAAACTCAAGTCTATGTTGGACTTTAAGCCATTAGGCTTTAAAGTAGAAGAAGTGTGAATTGGAAATGGAGGGAAATAAAATGGAGGGAAAATGAAAAATTTGAAGAAGTGAACTTTTGTCTTGCACTTTGTCCCTCATTGGTGAGGGACAACCACATTTGTGTGCTTATATATAGAATCACTTCTTAAAGCTCTTAAAAGGAGTTGAAGAGAATGAACCCTCGCGCCGTCGTCGTCATTGCTCGCTCGGCTTCGGCTTCGGATTTGTCAAACGATCGATAAGATTATTTTTTGGACAAAATTTATTTAATTATTTAATAATTAATTAAATGTCAAATCACTGCTGAAAATACGCCAGAATCCTGCTGAAGATTCAGAGGGTCTCTCTGGCCGCAGTTCTACTGCGACCGCGGTGGAACCGCGGCAGGCAGATTCAGAGAGCCTCTCTGACCGCGGTTCTGCTGCGGTCGCGGTAGAACCGCGGCAGGCAGCGTATTCTTCTTAAAAGACACCTTTTCCAGACACCTCTTCTAATAATTGCCTATAAATTCTGAGGCAAGGCTCCATTTTCTATATACGAAAAACACTCCAGAACTTCTTTCTTTCTGAATACACTGCATCCTAATTCGCAGTCTCTCTCTCTCAAATTCGTAAGTGTGATTTTGCTCCGTTCTTTGAGTTCGTTGGTATCCTGCAGTTTGTATTACCACTGTTGCAGGAAGGTTTATTACGTTTTATCCTGGGAGGAATTAATCCATTACCTTGGCAACGTGTGAGGGGGTTAAAATTCCTTAAGGACGCACAAGAAAATTGTGGACTCGGAATATTTTTTATTGTTTATTGTTCCAGTTTTTTCCTTCTAACAGTTTTTATTTTTATTTTCTTCCTAATTTTGTGTTTTCACATAGAAGCGAATTTTACAAGCTTAAGGAATTTTACAATTACTAACGTTTCTGTGTTGATTAAACTGTTTTCTATATATACTGGTTTGGAGACTAAAGCCTTCGTGCTTTCTACTCCAATAATTGTTCTGTCCGATTTAAAGTATAATAAAACTTTACCGGAATAAGAAACGTACGGGTTTGAAGTATATAAAAACTTCACCATTATTACGTGTTGTGTGTTTGGTTTGGTATTCAGTTTGAAGATATCAAAACTTCACTGATTTAACAAAATTTTGTTTTGTTTCCAACTCTACAGAAATATGACGAATGAAAACCAAACTAATGGAAGTGTTGCGGGAACGGGTGCTACTGTTACGAGTGTTGCTGCCTCGTCAAGCCGTTCTACTCCTGCCCATGCTATGGCACCGACAGAAAAACCCGAAAAGTTTTCTGGTATTGACTTCAAATGCTGGCAAATGAAGATGCTCTTCTATCTTACTACGTTGAGTTTGCAATGTTTCATCAAGGAGGATCCTCCGTTCCTGGCTGAAGGCNTCCTCCGGTCATGGCTGAAAATACTCCGGATGATGAACGACTTGTTGTAACTGAAGCATGGAAACATTCTGATTTCTTGTGCAAAAACTACATATTGAGTTGTTTGGAAGATGACTTGTACAATGTCTATAGTGTCATGGAAACTTCAAAAGCGTTATGGAATGCGCTTGAGAAGAAGTACAAGACTGAGGATGCCGGACTTAAGAAGTTCGTGGTTGCAAGGTTTTTGGATTTCAAGATGATTGATACTAGGTCAGTCATAACTCAAGTCCAAGCNTTTCATCTATGATCTTTCTTGATACAGCCATTCCCATTCATGTGGGAGATTGTTGGACTTTAAGTCATTAGGCTTTAAAGTAGAAGAAGTGTGAATTGGAAATGGAGGGAAATAAAATGGAGGAAAAATGAAAAATTTGAAGAAGTGAACTTTTGTCTTGCACTTTGTCCCTCATTGGTGAGGGACAACCACATTTGTGTGCTTATATATAGAATCACTTCTTAAAGCTCTTAAAAGGAGTTGAAGAGAATGAACCCTCGCGCCGTCGTCATCGTTGCTCGCTCGGCTTCGGCTTCGGATTTGTCAAACGATCGATTANGATCGATAAGATTATTTTTTGGACAAAATTTATTTAATTATTTAATAATTAATTAAATGCCAAATCACTGCTGAAAATACGCCAGAATCCTGCTGAAGATTCAGAGGGTCTCTCTGGCCGCGGTTCTACCGCGACCGCGGTGGAACCGCGGCAGGCAGATTCAGAGAGCCTCTCTGACCGCGGTTCTGCCTCAGTCGCGGTAGAACCGCGGCAGGCAGCGTATTCTTCTGAAAAGGCACCTTTTCCAGACACCTCTTCTGATAATTGCCTATAAATTCTGAGGCAAGGCTCCATTTTCTATATACGAAAAACACTCCAGAACTTCTTTCTTTCTGAATACACTGCATCCTAATTCGCAGTCTCTCTCTCTCAAATTCGTTAGTGTGATTTTGCTCCGTTCTTTGAGTTCGTTGGTATCCTGCAGTTTGTATTGCCACTGTTACAGGAAGGTTTATTCCGTTTTATCCTGGGAGGATTTAATCCATTACCTTGTCAACGTGTGAGGGGGTTAAAATTCCTTAAGGACGCACAAGAAAATTGTGGACTCGGAATATTTCTTTCCAGTTTTTTCCTTCTAACAGTTTTTATTTTTATTTTCTTCCTAACTTTGTGTTTTCACAGAGAAGCGAATTTTACAGTCTATGCATGACGCTATTGCAGCCTTATTTGGCGGTACCTGCTATTGCTAAGTGTATAGACGTGCTTTAAAGAGAATGAAGACCAATAAAGAGGAACCTCTCAAATTCTTTCCTCTGAGATGTTTCATATGTATGGACGTTCAAGCATTTGAGAAAATTGCTCCCATCTTTTGAAATTCTGTTAAAGGCTTGAATTTTTTATTTTTTCCTTTCTTTTCTTTCTGCAATTGGATAAAGATGTAATTTTATACTGAGTAGTGTTTACATTTTTGTGGCAATCTTGTAATTCTGTGAGTAATAAAACTAATTATGTCGGGTAAATGCCCGTGCTGTGCACGGGCTCGGGCCATCTAGTAATTATTAATATATGCTAATCCCTTTCACCAAAAAAATAAATTAAAAAAAAATTGTTGGGTACTTTCTAGATTCAGTCATTCTCATTTACTATATCTTTATATTGAATTACTACATCAGATTTTTTTCTCCATAAATACTGAGCTCACACTCTTTATGGCTTGTCGGTAGTTACATGAGACAATACTCCAATAATAAAATGACCTATGTCACAGTAAAGGTAAGAACCTTAATATCATTTCAATTAACTTATTCCTTTTTATTCCTCCCTTTCCTTAATACATGTTGGATTGTTTTAAACAGGGAGCAGGGCACGTAGCTGCAGATTACAAGCGAGAAGAATGCATTCTTACGTTTAAGAGATGGATATCTACTGATCCTTTATAAGCAGTTGTCTCTAAAGCATTAATCTTTTCCAATATTGACGTGCAAAGATTAGCTTTGAAGCTATTACCATCCCTACTAGCTGAGACTCTTGGTGATTGTTCTAGGCAGAAATATAGTTGAAGATTTGCAACTCTACTTCTTATTTGTCGCATTACCTTCATAAAACGGTAATATATTCTTCATGAATTGAGCAAGCATCACATGCATATCTGTGCACGTATGCATAATGCATGTGTGCACATATTTCCTAATGTTTGTAGATATACCGAGGACATGGCCCTTGACAGAGAATTATGGAGGTCGAGCATTAAGGTTGTAGGTTAGGGAAAAATTGTGAATATTTCTACAGCACAATAGAGTGAGACTAGCCAGTTAGGAGTTAGACTAAGAATGTCATTGCTCGTCTATTAATGCAGGGCTTTACCTGCTAATTTTTACTATACCAGATATCTATTTCGTATTTCGTATTCTGTATTTCATATCTCCTATATTGTTGTTATTCTATTATGCATTTTTATGGTACTAATATATCGTCTCCTGTTGCTTTTTTGAGCCGAGGGTCTCCTGGAAACAGGTTCTCTACCCTTCGGGGTAGGGGTAAGGTTTGCGTACATATTACCCTCCCCAGACCCCACTTGTGGGATTATACTGGGTTGTTGTTGTTGTTGTAGATATATTTTCTATTTCTTTTGTCAATGATATCTCATAATCAAGACAATTATGTGAAACTCTCTTAGTGAATTCTTATTCTTAAGAAGCTTATATAATATAATATAATATAATAAATAGTACTCAAAAGGGCATCCTAAACCCCAACCAAACGACTGAGTTTAGTGTATATGTATAGATTCCAGACTGACATCAAGGAAAAAAATGATTGGACTCTTCTGCTTACCTTATTATTAAGGGGAAAGGCTTTAAATGAATGTTGAGGTGAGCACAGGGGGACGTAGCTTGAGAAATCTCAAATCATAAAAACAAAGGAACAAATCCTCCAAAAATAGCAATTTATGCTGATCCTGAACCGGTCTTACCTTGGACTGTGTATCCCAAGTTTGTTTTTCCGAATGTCAATGAAAATTATGGTAAGTTCAAAGGTTTAGTTACTGAATGTTCTCAGCTGAGGTGAAGGGGTTTGTGGCCGCCAACTTGAAATATAACAGCATTGACGAAACAATCAAAGTAGCAAAAGATCCAGCCTCGGAAAACTTTATTTAAGTGTACCAAATTCATAAACTTAGTAAAATTACCTATTTATTGTTTTTTTTTTCAAGTTGTTTCTCCATTGTGTTAGTAGGCCAGTAAAGAGTGCTCCAACCTTCCAAGAGATCGTTAAACGCTTAATCCTTGGCAAGTAAAGACAACAATGAATTGGCCAGACATATAAGAAAATACCTTAAAATGGATACAAAAGAAATTCAGAAGAAAGATGTATACGACTGCAAAAGAATTGAGGTATAGCAGTGAAAAGTTCGATTGAAAATCAACAAACTTATTGGTTCAACTAACTCTAACAGCAGTTGACCATGAAAGATTATTAATTAGCAAAAGTTGCAATCACTTTTCTGCTATGACAACACTAACTCCCTCTATAGATCGTGAAACAAAAATTTTTCCAACAGGAAGTCTAAGGATATGAGGGCGTATCTGATCTTTCAGCTGCAACCTAATGACATGTGATGCTTGAGCTACATTTAGTCACTTACTTCCAATATGCTCACATGAATATAGAATGAGGTGTATTGGGGTCTCAGTTGTATAATATCCATACTCCCATTGTACAGTCTATGCAATGTCTAAGCAGCATTCAGCTTACTTGTCGCGTACTTCTCTTTTTGGAAGTAAGTCAGCACGTCTGAATCTGAAAGTGAACCTTATACCTATAAACAAGGAAGTAACAAAAATTATACATAAATTTCACTTGTACGGTAAAACTCAGTCCTCATTTAGTTTTTAGATGCTTCATTCTCAATGTCTACAAGTTGATAATGCCTTCTCCAGCAGTAATACTAGAAATACAAGCTCAAACTTGTTACCAGTGTATCTTAATTTCTGTTGTTCACTTCATTGTAGAATGTACGACCTCTAAAGTTGTTTAGAGGAGCAAAAACGAAAGGTAAACCAGATGTTCATGATTAAAGGCGTAGGTTGAGTTCGAGTCTTACAATAGGTAGTGTTATCCTTCTCAATTTCACTTAATAAATTATGAGTGGAGAGCCTAAGAGCGTATTGGGGATTGCCAAATGGAAGTTTTTATTTTCTAATCATTTAAAAGAACAGGTTGAACAGTATTACCTGAATTCCGAGAGAAGAACTTCAGTATTTCATCAATTATTATCACCTAACAAGAAGAGTAGCAGCAGTCATATAGAAATCATGATAAATGGAAAGAACATTTATGAAGGAGAACAGAAGAATCAAGCTACTGGCAAAAGAAATCACCCAAAGCACGATGGGGAAAGGTCAGACAAAATGTCAACATGATCACATGAACACAGAAACATAGCAAATGATAACGATAATTCAGCAACTCTTTTTGGTCCCCGTTGATCATTTTAAGCTCGAGAAACTTGGCCACAATGCATGGTTTTGAGGCTTGAAATACAGAGAATCAGCAAAAGAGAGAAACAGCATAAAATATATCTCCACCATATTTTCTTTCAGATGCTTGACTTCTAATGTATCTATATATATCTGCAGTTAACAGAGACTCTATCTAGGCAGCAGCTGGGCACGTAACGCAGATTGCATTTAAGATTGGATACGAGCTATAGAGATCAACTAAAGATCACCTTTTGGTCTCCTAAAAATGACATATTTGATACATGTGGCACCAACCTTAGCAATACTTTCCCTCATTTAAAACTAGAACATCTCTCCACCAAATCAGACACTTGGCTGTCTTCAAACATTTACGATAAAAGAATATCTACATTGCGATACAGCACAAAAAGAATTTTTGCAGCTCACAAACATAAATAAGAATAAGGAGTTCACAGTGCAGGATTTCGATGGTCAATTCTCTTACAGGAAATGAAAGATATAGCACAGCTGTCCACTCTGCCCAGCTTAACGGTGTCACCTGCAATTCACATATCAGAATCTTTTTAAGTAACATGTCCAGCACAAAGAAGCATCATCAAACTGAAAGAACTTATGCTGAAGTCAGAAGAACAAGAGGTCACTTACAGAGAATAGAGCGGATAATGGTTGCACATAAAGAATGAGGATGTGAAGGATCATGGTGAAGATAATTGAACCAACAAGCCATAAATTACTCCATGGAGGGATGACACTTAAGAACCAAAAAAACATAGTCAGTCCTGAAAGGACATAAAGTTATTCTGATGTAATGTCTAAATATTGTCGGCATTCTATACAGAAATGGCAAGACAACAAGATCTAGAAACAAAACAGAGCCTCGGCAAACAATGTCTCTAGAAGCTTTAAAAAGACAAGTTAATTCGACATAGAATATGACAAAAGGTGGACCGCCATCCACATCTTGAGAAGGACAAGTAACTGCCCCTTGTACATACATTTACTTCTTGAGAACCAAAAAGAGTAGATGAGTAGATCACAAGGTGATAATTAATGTAAAGAACAAAAACAACTTTCATCAGTCAGAGAAAATATTCAAAAATTCATACCCACCTTCAATAAAATCCTAAAATACTATTTTTATCATTTCTAAGAGGGATTCTGGAATTTAGGAAGGGGTTTTCGATCTCTAAAGAAATCTCTCTCTTAAAATTATAGAATGGCCAAAAGGACCACCAAGTGGATGAGGTACACAGGACTTTGAGTGGCTTTAAATTAACTTTCAGAATATAAGTTGTAAGGATTCGTCAGAAAAGAACTCAGAGAAACATGTCAATCAAATATTTACTTTTAGCAAAGTATTTTTGATATAGAACAGAATTGAAAAGTTGGTAAGAACAAAGCTAAGGAATCATAAGCAATAGGAAAATGACAGTACAACTGCCTATGAGGAGCACCATGAATTTCCAGGTTCACAAGAAGTTAAATCTTAAATCCGAGTCACCGTAATTCAGTATTACTGCAATTGGTGGAGGCATTCGTTAGATGCAATTCTTTATTTTAATAACTGTAGCATCCGAGCCAACTTGCGCGCACCTCGACTAATTCCACGGGATACCTGCCACCTCCCACCAGCAACATGTACCGGGTAACTCTATCCACTAAGGCTTGGATAGATGGGAAGAAATCACATACTCCCTCCGTTCCAGTTTATGTGAACCTATTTCCTTTTTGGTCCGTTCCAAAGAATGACCTCTTTCTAAATTTGGAAACAATTTAGTTAAACTTCCAAATCTATTCATAATGAGAAGCTTTTATAACCACACAAATACTTTGGGCTCCTTTTTTACTTGTTTATGACCACAAATTCCAAAAGTCTTCATTTTTTCTTAAACTCCGTGCCTAGTCAAACAGGTTCACATAAATTGGAACGGAGGGAGTAGTATTTTTTGCTTCCGTTGGGATTTGGACCCGCAACCTTAGGGTTCTCACCCACTTCATTGACCAATAGGTCACATCGTTGGGTGCAGATGCAATTGTTTAAAAGAATAGACTACCATTTCCTCAAATTAAAAGAGAAAAAGGTGTAGGGTTATACTTTTTAAAAATGCAAGATAATAAATTAGATCAGCAACAGTTTCAGTAGCATGCTTACAGTAAGGATTGATTTTCACTGAGATTATTCAATGCATTGAACATCTCAACAACAACAAGCACCGTCATTGAAACAGTAGATGGGTGGCGATTACTGAATATACTACATGGATAATTTGCTTCCCTGGTTGAACAACTGTCAAAATTCATCTGAAAAAATAAACATGAAAGAGTTAGTTTTATTTTAAAGGAAATTCAAGGACACATTCCAAGTCATCAAGTCCCTGAATCTGAATGTTCCCGCCAAACCACATATTAACACCTAAGTTGCTCGGACACGGGTGAGGATCTAGAGGTCGGATCCTTCGAGATGTATGGATACGGGTGCGGGGATCCGGCTAAAAATAATTCAAAAACTAAAAAAACAAAAATATCTCTAAATTATGAGAAATTTTGTGGAATACTTACGTATAGCTTGTAAAGTGTAGATTTTATTTTTATTCTCAAATTGTAGATAAGTAAAAGATTGATTTCCTAGAAAAGGTATGCTATTTTCTTCAAATTTACCCTAGTTTTGGTTCTGATTTCGGGAATCAAATTATATCTCGTCTCGGATATTTTCATCCGTCGTGGTCAAAGTACCCAAAATTATTTGACCAAATTCGTACGGATCCTATACCCACACCCATACTAGTGTCGTGTCGACACGGGTGCGGCACCTAAATTGCCGTGTCGGAGCAACTTAGATTAACACTATGAAACCAGTGCTTCAGTGCGGCCCTCTTACATGCACAAATGAGAAGAGAAAGAACTTTCATTCACCCATAACTCATTTGTTTTCTGTTCGGCCCTCAAGGGAGGTGTTAGAGCTAGATTCTTACTGACAAAGGTTTGAAGCTGGAGGAGAGCACAGTGATTGCCGGTTTTAAATGTAAAACTTTTTGTGACCAGAGGTACTTGAGAACACTCCAACTCCATCAATATAAGAAAGAAAAGTAGAAAACAACATAAACTGGAGAGAACTGAATAGGATGCACCCAATGGCTTCTTGGAGTGAACTTACCAATTCATTGTATGGGAGTTTGGGTCCATTATCATAATAAACAAACCACCATATGAATCCCGCAACAGTGGCAAGTCCAACATATGCTGCATGAATGGGAATTATGATCAACAATGAAGTCGAGGAAAGCAAATATAGGACCAAGTATCATATAAAGCATTAAATTACTGAAGCGAATTTTTATCTCCAAATACTAGTGCCGGTGTGCACTAATAACATACGCATTGTATTCACCCTCATTTAATCGTGATACAAATATTTTAGATACTAGCTTCACCAAGGAAAACCTACGACAATTTTAAAATAAGGGGAAAAACAAAAAATCAGACACAAAAAGCGCGAAGAAGAAGCTACAAGACTCAACTAAAAACAGAGGCCATAAACCTGCAAATACTAGGGTTGTAATAAAAGTGAACAAGGAATGTGTGCTACCTCCAATAACTAGATAACGAAAAAACAGCCACCCGGAAACTACTGCTTCATTGACCTGTCATAAACAAGTGAAGTAAGTTTCAAATTTAACAATTTTTCAGCATCTTAGTTTTTTAATTCATATAAAAGGTCAAAAATTTAATGCATTTCCAGTCCAACAAACAAAGATGAGGAACAAAGGCTTCATATCGAGGATACAAAGCAGAAAGAATACAATCAACTTTGACACATTAAGGACATTTGACACCTTACTACATCAGTCAAATTGAATAATACAAGAAAAAGTGAAAATAAGTGCATTTCCAAGTTGCATTGACAAGCATATGTCCCAAGTATTTAAGATCAGAAACTTCATCGGAGATATATGTGAAGGAGATGCTACAAAAGCTTGTTTCAAAGTGATGGAAGATAATAAAGAGAGAGAGAGAGAGAGAGAGAGAGGAACTGGGAAAGCAGAAATTCATATATTCTATTTCAAACTTGCCAAACTTGGATATTGTCAAGAACTCCTGAAAAGGTCAATCAACGACCATGATTCTGCTCTTGCAACATACATAAGTTTGTTAAAAAGGATAAGCTATATGTGAGTACATCTCAATAGAAGTACTAGAATGGATTAAGATAGACCCGTCTTACTTTTGTATCCGTTAGATCTTATTACATAGAATTGTTAAGTAATCATCTAACAACATTATATCTCTCAGACAGGATTTTCCAGTTATTTATGTTTGATTGCATTTATATTCTGAGAATTAGAACGGGAAAAGAATATTATTAATCTATTAATTATCGTACGATGAGCCCTATTTATAACTATACACAATTCATATTCTGCTCCTATTCCATGTGGGACTAGGATTAATAACATATTAATTATATAATTATCTAACACTCCCACTCAAGCCGGTATACAAATCATATTTAACCGAGCTTGTTACATATGTAACTAATATGAAGACCACTGAGGGACTTGGTGAACATATGTGCAATTGATCATTCGACTTCACAAACTTTGTAGCAATATCTCTTAAGAGTATCTTTTCTCTGACAAAGTGACAGTCAATCTCAATGTGTTTAGTTCTCTCATGAAACACCGGATTTGATGCAATGTGAATGGCAGCTTGATTATCATACAAAAGTTCCATCGTGTTGATCTCACCAAATGTCAACATTTTGAGCAATTGTTTGATCCAAACTAGCTCCCATATTGCTATAACCATTGCTCGATATTCTGCTTCTGCACTAGACCGAACAACCACATTCTGTTTCTTGCTCTTCCAAGACACAAAATTACCTCCTACTAAAACACAATATCCAGACGTAGTACGTCTATCAGAAGGTGATCCTACCCAATTAGGATCTAAGTATCCAACAAACTGCTCATGGCCTCGATCCTCAAACAAATAATCCTTTGCTTGGTGCTGATTTTATATACCGCAGAATACGGATAACTACATCCCAATGATTATCACATGGAGAATCCACAAACTAACTCACAACACTCACACGAAAGGAAATAGCNCAGAAGTTTAGAATTCGGATACATAGGAGTATCAACAGGTATACAGCCTGTCATTCCTGTCTTCTCAAGAATGTCTAGGCATACTTCCATTGTGAGATCCCAAAACCTGAGCTAGACTGAGCGACCTCAATACCTAAGAAATACTTTAATCTACCCAAGTTCTTAGTCTGAAAGTGATGAAAGAGATGTTGCTTCAACTTAGTAATATCATCCTGATCATTGCCGTTAATAATAATATTGTCAACATAAATCACTAGATAAATACCGAGACTTGAAGCAGAATGCCGATAAAATACAGAGTGATCTGCTTCACGACGAGTCGTGCTAAACTCTCGAATAACTGTGTTGAACCTACGAAACCAAGCTCGAGGAGACTACTTAGACTATAGAGTGACCGGCGCAACTGACATTCAAGGCCATTAGACACCGCCTGACCAGCAAAACCAAGTGGTTGCTCCAAATAAACTTCATCCTCAAAGTCACCGTGAAGAAAAACATTCTTAGTGACAAACTGATAGAGAGGCCAGTGGCGAACAACAACCATGGATAGAAAAAGGCGGAATGATGTTATTTTAGCCACAGGAGGAAGTATCACTATAATCGAGCCCAAGTATCTAAGTATACCCTTTGGCTACAAAACGGGCCTTAAGTCGATTAACCTGGCCATGTGGACCAAATTTGACTGCATAAACTCAACGACAACTAACAGTAGATTTACCTGAAGGAAGAGGAACAAGCTCCCAAGTACTATTCATATGTAAAACAGACATCTCGCCAATCATAGCTTGTCGCCATCCTGGATGAGACAGTGTTTCACCTATAGACTTAGGGATGGAAACAAAGGACAAAGATGATACAAACGCATAATGGGGTGATGACAAACGATGATAACTTAAACTGACATAATGGATATTACGAAGTGTGGATCGTATACCTTTCCGAAGGGCAATCGGTGGACAAGGAGAAGATAAGTCCGCAATAGGAGCAGGGTCAGGTGCAGGACATGAATCAGCAGAGTCTGATACTGAACGCGGATGGCGACGATAAATCAAGAGTGGTGTTCCTGCAGTAGGGGATGTCGGAGAAGCGACAATAGACTCCTTAAAAGTTGGTATGGTAAGACTTCTGTGGCTGGGGATATAGGAGAAGCAATAGTAGACTCCTTAAAAGTTGGTATAGGTAAGACCTCAGATATATCAATATAATCAGAAAAAGTAAAGTAAGGATGAGACTAAAAAATGTGATATCGGCTGACATAAGGAACCTACAAAATCAGGTGTATAGCAACGATATCCCTTCTGAACACGAAAATAACCAAGGAAGACACACTTGAGAGCACAAGGAGCTAACTTATCTTTCCCGGGGGCTAAATTATGAACGAAATATGTTCTCCCAAAAACACGAGGGAAAAAGAGTATAAGGATGACAGGGGAAGCAATACTAAATGCAGGACTTGATTCTAGATGGATGGGAGATGCAGGCATCCGATTAATCAAGTAACAAGCTGTGAGAACTACATCGCCCCAAAAACGCAACGGAACATGGGATTGAATGAGAAGTGCTCGAGCAATCTCAATGAGATGCCTATCCTCTCTCTGCAATTCCATTCTACTGAAGGGTATAAGGACAAGATGTCTGATGAATAATATCTTGAGAAGTCATGAACTGCTGAAACTGAGAGGATAAATATTCTAAGGCATTATCACTGCGAAAAGTGCGAATAGAAATACCAAATTGATTATTTATTTCAGGACAAAAAACTCTGGAATAAAGAAAACTCACAATGATCTTTCATTAAGAAAAGCCAAGTACACCTTCAATAATCATCAATGAAACTACCAAAATAACGAAATCCTAAGGTTGAACCGATTCTACTAGAACCCCATATATCAGAATGAACTAAAGAGAAAACAAGCTCAGTATGACAAGTCAACACTACGCGGAAAGGTGGCTCTGGTATGTTTCCCAAGCTGACACGACTCACAATCTAATATAGACAAGCTAGACAAACTAGGCATTATCTGCTGAAGTTTGGTTAAACTTGGATATCCTAAACGTCTGTGAATTAGGTCTGGAGAATCTGTTACTGGACATGTTGTAAAGGGATTGAGTGAGTTAAGGTAGTAAAGGCCTTGTGACTCACGCCCTGTGCCAATCGTCTGTCCCGTACTGCGATCATGCATAACAAAAGAATCATCAATAAAATATATACCACAATGGAGGTCACTAGTCAAACGCCTAATAGATGCAAGACTAAAAGGACAGCTAGGGACATAAAAAAACAGAATCTAGGGTGACAGAAGATAGGGGATTAGCTTGTCCAACTCTTGTTGCTTTAGTTTGGAACCCATTGGCTAAAGTAAAAGTGGGAAGAGACTGTGAATACACAATATTCGACAAAAATGATTTATTACCAGAGATATGATCAGAATCCCCTAGGTCCAGTTCATGACTCACGGTCCAAGAGTACTAAATTGGATTACACAAGCAAAAGAATTATCATCAACAGAAGTATCAATCTGAGCAACAGAGGCTACTTGTGGAGATGTCTGCTTATTTGCTCGATACTGAAGGAACTCATTATGTTCCTTTTCAGATAAAGAAAATCCTTGGTTACCTGTAGTCTCGGTCTGCGCAACATGAACATTTTCTAGGTGGTCGACCATGTAATGGATAGCATGCTTTACGAGTGTGTACAAGTTTATTACAATGACTATGCCTAGGTCGAGATCTCCCAAAGCGACCTCCTCTTCGTCGATTCTCCATATGCTGAGATGTCCGATTTTTCACTATCTGAGATGCGAGAACAGAGGAATCAACTGTCTGTGATGGGATCACTGTGTGACTGGATGCTGCAGCAAGGCGAAGTAATCGAGAGAATAATTCATCAACTGTAGGATCAGTCGGACTAGCCAAAATCTAGTCGCATACTGAATCAAGGTCATTAGGAAGTCCAGCGAGTGTAAGAAGTAAGAACTAGAAACATCTTTGTCGTTGCTCTTATTGCTTTGAAACACTTGCAGAAACTAGCAGCAACTTCTCAAATTCCTCAATGACTCTTGTACTTATCCCGAGTAAATAGACATATCCAGTTCTTGTTTCTTTAAGTTTGTCATCCGAGATATCACCTCATAAAGCGAGATATGTCATTAGTGTATAAAGTGCGAACCTTTTTTCTAAATGGAATAGCATGTCTGAAATGGATTAAACAAATGCATTAACTTGGAATCAATTGATCACCACAAGAGACTACATAATTGAGAATCAATCTTATCCAAATATGCTTTGGCTTTTTCGTCTCCATCGCTGGTCTTTTTGGTTAAGTAGCCTTGAACACCTTGACTCTTGCACCACAACTCAACCGAGGAAAGCCAAACTAAATAGTTTGAACTTCCCATTAAGGGTTCCGAAGTAATTATAACACTTGAATTTCAATCACCCATGCTTTTGGAACCAAAAACATCAACTCCCAAAGACATTGTTGGACCAAATAATTAAGAAGTCATATAAACAGTTAAGATGCAGTAGAAAAAGGACTAGTCGTCGGAAACTAGAAACAACTGCCAGAATCTGCAACAAGTCGCCGAAAAATAAAACAAGTTATCATTTGGTGTAACCTGAATGGTAGGCTCGAAATTGCCTTGTGAGCCAACTGTCATGAAGAGTCGTCACTGGAAAATGGCCGGAAGGGACCGCACGCGTCGACGCGTGAGAAAGAATCTCACAAAAAAAAAATTATAGCGGCGTGTGGGCGTGTGAGGAGGTTTCTACTTATGGGTTGGTCACCAGAGGCGGATCTATTTTGTTGTGGTATTTGTTTTTGCACAGCACTGACGGAGAATGACTTTTCTAAATTGGACAGCCTTAAGTCACAGGAAAAATTGCACGACGGCAAGTCTTTCTTCCGGATGTCGTTGAAATAACACACAACGATAATTTTCTCAGTTCCGCTCTGATACCATGTGAGAATTAGAACGGGAAAAAATATTATACATCTATTAACTATAATAATACAATGGACCCTATTTATAATTAAACACAATACATATTCTACTCCTATTCCATGTGAGACTAGGATTGATTACATAACTATCTAACATATATGTCACACAGAAATCAACTCTCACTTGCTCTAAAGATAAAGTTGGAGAATCAATTTGTTAAATTTGATCACCCTAGAAAAGAACATGCATTTTATGTTTGATTGCATTTACATATCACAAAGAAATCAATTCTAGCTTGCTCTAAAGATAAAAATAGATAAGCAATTTGTTAAATGTGATCACCCCAGAAAAAAAACATGCAATGCTTTATTTTTTAACCAGAAATTTGAGTGCATGTCTTCATGTAGTATCTTTTCCACGTGTTATAAACCACTTTGACAATCCAGTATGTGTTGACCTAGAATATTGTAAATGCAATAGCATCCCAACTTAACTTCCAGAATTAAATAATTCATTCAAACAGCCTCTCTGTTTAGTTTTCAACCAGGAAGAACAGAAAAAGTTCAACACTACATAGGCTGTCTCTGATATAATTCATCACCTTAAAATATATGTTTCATGTTTGGGGCTAATAACATAATAATATCTCATAACTTAACAAGCACTATCAAGCAGCCCTTAATCACCATAAAGTTATAAAAATACCAGCCTGATTCACCAGCCTGGTAGCAGAAAGAACTGGACAAAAGCACGAGGAAACAGAGCTTCTAAAGTCAAAGCAAGTACGCCATCTAAGCCTTGCAGTAAACAACTTGAAACAAACAACAAAACAGCAGTAGCAAATGCACACAAAAGACCATATTACCTAGAAACACAACGACATGAGTCAACTAAGACGGAAAGAGAAGATAATACCTTCCGAGGTTTGGACTTCATAACATCTGAGTCTTGTTTATTAAACCCAATAGCAGTGGCAGGCAATCCATCAGTGACTAGATTTACCCATAGCAGTTGGACCTGTTATCAACAAAATAACCTGATAAATCTGAAAAAACTAAGCTTGAGAGTAATAAGGAAATTAGAAGTTACTGAGTCCCACATCGACAATGAAGAGGGGATGGGTGGTCTCCTTATATGGCCTTGGGCAATCCTCACCTCTTGAGCTAGCTTTTGGGGTTGAGTTAGGCCCAAGGTCCATTTAACATGGTACCAGCGCAGAACCCATCCCGATTTTCCGATGTTGGGCCCCCATAATTGTCCACGCTCCAGATGTCCAGTCCGGGGCGTGAGAAGGGGTGTTGAGTCCCACATCGACAATGAAGGGGATGGGTGGTCTCCTTATATGGCCTTGGGCAATCCTCACCTCTTGAGCTAGCTTTTGGGGTTGGGTTAGGCCCAAGGTCCATTTAATAGAAACGAGCCAACTTAACATACTTAGAAGAGAAACATATAAAGCATCAAACTAGCTTCCCAGCCTTCAAAAGAAGGCTGGAGCCGTGTTATTAAAAAATGGATATGGATGATTATTTATAGTGACAGAAATGGATACTACAGGAGGACTCAGAGCAAAGATGACTTAAAAAAAGAGGACTCAGAGTAGGTATTAGATGCTACCTATATGAAGCTGAAGCAAAAGTAGAATCCCCTATACAATTATTTTTGCATTACCATTTTGTGTTGGGACATTTGGGCTATGTTCCTGAATGTATTTGGAGTGCATTGGGTAGTTCTTCCAACCTTTAAATCTGCAGTAAGAAGCTGGAGAGGACAGATGCTCGCGGAAAAACTTTATGCTTTCGCCTTTTGTATAGTCTAGGGCTATTAATCTGCCATACTCTTGGTGTGATTTAAGCAGAACTGATGTATTTTCTTTTTGCAGACTTTCTGGATTCCTTTAATATTTAAGGGAAGCTAAGTCCTTGTTTGTGTACATATTTAGCACTTTCTTGGTGCAAATTACTGAAACTTTTACCCCAAAAAAATGTTCAAGGTGGACCGCTATTGCATCACTTTCCTCGAACCTCTTGCTTGCGAAATAGGGACTTTTTTTTTGGATAAAGTAATAAAAATTTCCTTAAAAGAAGGGTATAAATGCCCGTATACAAGAAGTATACCAAAAAAAGAGAACCTTGCAACAAAATATGGTTCTCTACAAAAGACACTCAATCTTCTATGCTTAAGGGAGTCTCGTGGGTGCACAAACATAATAAGAGAAAAAAAGGCTACTCCTCAACTGTACAAAACCCTTCTCTACCCCATCAAAAGCTCTCAACACTTTGAGACAGTAACATATCATGACTGCTTCTTTAGAAATATAACAAACACTACTCCGAGGGTGGGGAGAAGGGGGGTAGGGGGGAGTGAGGAGGGCTAAAATGCAGATTAGCAGGGAAAATATGCATTTGAGATGTTTAAGAACGGGTATGAACATGTTACAGAAGTTATAGGCTACAAACTCACAGGGACAAGAGTATCAGGAATCCCAAGCATAGCTGCCACAAAAATACAGACCACTTCACCAATATTTGAAGATATCATGTATCTAATAAATTGTTTCGTATTGTTGTATATAGCCCTTCCTTCAGCAACCGCCTGTTCAGAAAACATAATTCAATAAACCAAAGGAATATAGTTTTAAAGGTAAGAGATTTAGGAGAATTTGATGAAAATAGAATATCAGCTTACAGCAACAACAGTGGCAAAGTTATCATCTGCTAAAACCATATCTGAAGCACTCTGCAAGTTGAGACCAGGATGAAAGAGATTAAGTTCACATGCCAATTTCGGGAATCCAATATAAACAATTTATGACAGACCAGAAAATCTTAAAACAAAGCCCACTATGTCATTAAACAATGAATTTCTTGGTAAAGTCATTCGAAACTGCAGAGGGGTAACAAAAAGGTGGTTGCACCAATGTACTGTAGGATATGATTAGTGTTTTGCATATTCACTAATTTATTTAAGCAGTGGCAAGTTTTGTCCAGTTTGGTTATTTTTATTGTGAAAAGAATTTCTCCAAAGAAAATATTTTCCACGGGAAAACCTTATGGGCAGAAGCCATATTCATTTTCACATATTTAAGCATTTAACGCTATATTACTTGCTTCAAACAGCTCATAGGAATTTTGTCTACCTTTACTGTAAATTGTAACAAATTCATCTGCTAATTACAAAATATAAAATCTTGAAACTCTTGAGGTACAAACAGAAGGAAAAGGAGGAGAGGATCCAGCCCACCTCTAAAGCAGTAAAATCATATTAAGGTGAATTCTTTAGTACAACTTTCATATTTAAAAAAATAACAGACAAATACGTAGGCCTAAGAGAATCAGGTAGCATCAATAATATACGGTCTTACTCAGTGAAACCCTTTCTGGCACTATATTACCTGAGCTAACCAGAAAAGTAATGAAGGCGAGAAAGAGGGACAATAAAACTCGTCTAGACAATATACAAGAGCGCCCATTATATAGGAGTTTACGCTACTAGAAATACGATCATTTTAGACTACATAAAATAAGAAAACTTTATCATGAGAAAAAATTTCCAACTACCAGAATTCCTACTTATGACACAATAATAAAGAGCATAATTATATACCACAAGACTAATCTAGGAGGGTGTTTGGATTGCCTTAAAAGCTGGTAATTTAGGTTTGACCAAGTATTCACATTCTTATCCCTTACACTTCATAAATTCCCTAAATACCCTTCACAATGAAAGGCCCTAACTCTATTTGTTTCTTTTCTTTCTTCTTCCTCAGCTGCCTTCTATCTCTGCATTCCTTATTAGTTCAAGTTGAGTGGATTTTCTCACTTAAAATATCGTAAAACAATTTATCACGTAAAGAAAGTTCACCCAATATTTCGCAGATTCTAAATGTACCGAACTGTTATGTTTTTCTATAAGCTGGATCATGTACAACTGATACTTTCTTTAAGAAAGTGGACTTGTATGAGATTTTTGCTGCAACTGAAAAACGGGGAATAAACTTTGATCAATTGCTGCACATTCCGGAACATGATGAATGGCTCTATAGTGATGGGAAAACCACTACACGCGTGACTTTAATGGCTCTTTTCTAATGAAATTTGAAATTCTAATGCTTGTAATCATATGAATACTTTTCACTATTTAATTAGTAAGTTGTTTATTGAACTTTTATTTGGTGATGGACATTTGTATTAGGATAAGGAGGAAGAAGAGGTCAGTACAAGGACGCCCCAGGATTAGGTGGGGCGCCTTAACTAAGGATAAAGCTAAGGAGTTGGAAGGAAGGTTATCGGCAATGGGAGCTTGGAGAAGTAGTGGGGACGCAAACACAATGTGGTCGACGACGGCGGACTGTATAAGAAAGGCGGCGAGAGAGGCGTTAGGGATATCTACGGGCCACAATGGTGGCCGCAAAGGAGATTGGTGGTGGAATGCAGTTGTCCAAGGTAAAGTGGAAGCAAAGAAGGCGGCTTACCTGCGGTTAGTAGGGAGCACTAACGAGGAGGAGAAGAGAGAGAACGGTCAAAGGTATAAGGTAGCTAGGAAGGAGGCGAAGATGGCAGTGAC